TCTTCAGTGAACATCACGGCTGCTACTTTAGGACCTTTTCCTATCGTCCCAAGGTAGGTTAGCAGGAGGTGACCAAGAAGGACGTAAGAACGAATACTGAGACATCGAGAACAGCGCCTCGACACTTTATACATATCATCGTTCTCCCCAACCAACACGACGCTGTAGTCGAGGAAAGTACTCAACAATCCGCCCGAGCATAAAGGGCTGTGAGCGATTCTCACAGGGTATTTTAGGTCAGCTTTGATCCATGGATCAATGCCTCGATAAATAGCAGTCTCAGTAGAAACAACTACGATGAATGATATTGATGGTATTTAAGGAAGGCCTTTGTTAAGCTACTGTGGTCGTCTCTCCAAGGGCAACACCATTAGCACGATTACGTAAAATTCGTTTGGGAATAGCCGGATTCTCATCGTCGCTGATGCTTTCCTCTTCCTCCTCCTCCTCCTTGTTGTTGTTGACCGCTTCTCCACCCGACTGCAGTTCAGTCTCAGTACTCTTGACTGGCTTTGGCGCGGCCTTTTGTCCGGAGAGTATCCTATATAGTTTCCTCAAGTGAGTTAACTGGAACTTGAAGTTAATGATGAAAATTGACGACTGCAAAATGACCATCGCATAAGGAGCCCAAAATGGGTACACGTAATCGGCCGGAGGATGAGTCGCTTGCCAGAGCACACGGAAACTCCATGTTAGTAAGAAGGCTCTCGAGATCGAATACGCTACCACGAAGACTGTATATGTCGTAGTAGAGCGTCTAGTATTGTAGTAGTTGTACATTATTGAACCCAACTCCGTGATGAAAGTGTTCACAGCATTAGCCAGGCCGAATACATTGGCGACATCAGACGTAAGGAAACCTGAAAACGGCATGAGACGCGACCTCATAGGAAGAAGGAGAGGTGCTACCAGCAATGGCAACTACATGATGACCGAGGAACTTGCGGTCCCAAGTGAGAACATGGGCCAGGTCGTATGTGAAATAACCAATGTTGAAATGTTGTAGTATGTTGACGAGGGAGTAGTCAGTGTTGTACCTGAAAATCGCCATACAGTAGTTTAAGGATGATTCTCAACTGGATGCCACTTTATGAAGTAGTTGTTGCGATGTCTCTATCACTGAGAGCCTCTAGTGCTATAACACACGAGTTTAGTATGAAAAACCAATAAGGTGCTTCTTGGTCTCCTGTTGCGTTACCCGAAGCTAGCCAAGGTCCATAGTGAGTCCCAGTTGATAATGATGACAGCAGCTGCTAGTACAGTAGAGACAACATGATGGAACATTGCCACGTATTGGCTCGCTTTATTAACATCCCCCTTGAGGCGGTAGAACTCCGCAAAGAAGAGCACTCCGCAGAGGAAACACGATGATAGGGCTACCGTTGAGTCTTCGAATACTGGCTGAACCATGATATACAAACTAACACGCTGAGAAATAAATATTCATTTTGTTGAGCCTCTGGGGAGATGCGAAATAAAAAATACGGACCCTAGGATCGAACCCGGGTGCGTCTTTGCACGCATGCGCTATCGCTTCTTGTGACGAGTAACACCAGTAGACATAGAGAATACAAGCATATTTTATAGGTGTTCAACTTCGGCCCTCTGAGTCTTCCTCATTCAAGAGAAACTCCAATTCGCCACTAATCACAAGCCTGGAGGCTGCTGATTGAGCCCAGTCGATGCTAATTTGTCAACAACTGCTGAACTCAGGAAACTCACGATGTCCAGACATAGGAAGGATTAACTCCTTGATAGCTCTATCCTGGTCCTGTGCTTTCCGATACACAGTAGAGCCTTTCGAGTAGAACTCAACCCTATTGGTTGTGGAAGACCAGCAGTATACGACGGCGTTCGAAATGTATATGCTTTCAACCTGTTGCTCAAGACCTAGAATCCAGATGTCCTTATCATGGCTACGTCAAAGACTTGTTCACACTCCACAAACACAAGGCGTGCATTCAGAAAGACATAATCGTCAGAGCCCCACGGTCAAGGACATGAACAGGGCGACGATCTTTCAGCCCTCTGGGACTTCAAAAGTGTTATACTCATACAAAACCTCTGCCGTGAGTTTCAAAACTGAGTAACTCAGCCCTGAACTCGACAGAAACGGAAATACGAACTTTTCTGACTTAATACAAGTAATATAAAAGACCACGCGCTCTTGCGCTCGTGTAGTGACATGCTCTACAAAGGCTCATTGGACATGATGTGGACGATCCGGTCTTCAGCCAACCTCGCTATCTTCTCGTCAGAGTAGCCCAGGCACCTTTGCAGCACCCATTTAGTGTGTTCACCAAGCGCTGGTGGTGGTAAGGACTTCTCCTCCTTGGAGGGCGCCGGCTCGAACTTTACCGCGGGACCAACAACATCAATTGGACCTGAGCACAGTGCGTGAGGTAGGACGATAGCAACAAAACCCGTACCCGCAGTAGCGTGCTCTACTGTCAACTTCATCCCCCTTGCCAACACTTGCGGGTCAGAGAATACCTACACGCTTTTGACCCCCGAATAAAGAACAGTGTCGGATTCACCCCTTGCATATTCTGAAGCTTGTCATGGGCGAGTCGCTCCTTATGCGGCAAAGCGTCAAGTAGGGCCATCCATTCCTCTGTCCTCTTCGTTTTAAGTATCTCATTTAAGATACCATTGAGCTCATCTCTGTGGTTACAGCGTGCTTCGTTGGTCTTGAACCTAACAAGAGCACTGAATGGGGATCTCCCTCAAGCCAGGCGCTACTTCTCATCCTGCTCTAAATCAGGTCTGCCCAAGACGTTACAAAAACTCTTCCACTGAGCATCGTTCAATGCCCCAGCAACTATGTGACCATCAGCGGTGGGGAAAGCCTGCCAGGAGCAATAGGAGAGCCCCATGGGGCAAAGGACGGCCTACACCATACGGGACGATATTCGGGTGCTGCGTCCCCATACGTGCGCACTCTACACCACCTATAAGGTAACCACTGGCTACATTAGCCATAGCAGAGACTTGCGACTCCAACAGACTGCATTTCACATGCCGACCTTGACCAGTCATCTTGGCGTTGTACAGGGCCGCCAATACCCCACCTGAGAAAAATGGATGGCGGTCATGAAGAAAAAAGGGCAGTGCGCTGTAATCGGACACATCGTTCGTTTGCATACTAAATTCGGCAAACCTGGGCGAGCCCGGGATGACAAAAAGAATTGCTCATAGCAGTAGTTACATTGTATACGTAGGGATTCATATCAATTCTCATTAACCTCAGAAAATGACGCACATTTCGCACACAATACTGACAAGCACTGTATTCACTTACCGTGAAGGTGTAGACCAGCAAGGATATCGGTCCAAGCGACGCCAATCTTAACAGGTTGATCTCCTATGCCCGTGCATGCCATCATACCACAACGGCCCTCCACCATCAAAGCATACCCTATATCATGATGGTGACACGTTGGATCAATCAGCTACCTGGTCTATCCTTGTCCGGTCCTGTGTCACCATAGCCAGTAAGACTACCGTATACCAGGGCTGGGTTGAACTTACGCAAAGATTCATAATCGAGCCCATACTTAGCCAACGTACCCGGCACGTAATTTTCTGAGATGGAAAGTCATACCACACCCTTGTCAACATTCGTGGAACCTATGACGATGTCGCTGACTTTAACAAGATCCTTAATAATCTGCTGACCCTCAGGAGTCTTCAAGTTTACTCCAATGCTATGCTTGTTCCTGTAGTGTTGACAGGCATGTCTTAACCTCCCCTAAGGCAGCCTACCTATTAGGAGCTACAAAGTAGGCAGATTCACGACCCTTATCAGTGAATGGTGGACCCCAGGCTCGTGCATCGTCCCCAACACCAGGCTTCTCCACTTTGATCACCTCTACCACACAAAGAGTCCAAGAGTAAGGTGTTACGTCTGTCTCTCACCTGCGCCATAATCAGCTAGCATCATCCCCCCATACGGTCCTGCTAGGATCCTGGTAAGGTCTATGACCCTAACGCCGTGCAGCGGGAGCGGTGCAGTGGAGGAGCTAAAGCCCCGCCATAATGTGATAAGAGATGTGCGTCGTTGTTC